GATTTTTATTGGATCATGGAATAATGTATTGGTTTTAGCTAAAATGATTTTGTAGCAAAAATATTAATTTTGGACGTTTACTGGTATAAAATTAGATCTAGTATACCATTTGCTATTGGGGGTGGGGTGGGGGGGGGGAGGAGGAGGGTCAGAAATAAAAATTAAACAGTGAAATCGGGGAAAAAAATAACGGAAATACCATACCTACTTAGGTATACAGATATTTAGCCATAGAGATTTTCAAAATTTGTTGGCTCTTTTTAAGCTTATTACCTATATATACCTAGATATTTTTGATATTATTGTGTTTATGGAAATTCTTATTTCTTAGTAAAAATACAAGGTAGAAATATAAAATCTTAAATATAAGAGCTTAAAACTGTTAACATTTTTTAAAATCCACATTTTTTTATAAGCATTTGAATTTAAACGTCGATGAATTTGAATATTCATTCAAATGAAAAATAGTGGTGTAGGTACATTCAAAATATGTATTTTATTTTGTGGTACCTAATTAAAAAGATATTAATTTAAGATGCTTAACAAACAAAATTTAATGTAACTAATAGAAAAAAACCTCACGCATAAAAATAACAACACTTTATTACCACGGCCACAACGGTGTTCAGGCATTCTATGCTGCGCTCACATCAAGCTAGCATTGCCGAAGAACCCGTTCTGTCCTTTCTTATTAGGTACTTAAGTGTATGTTATATAATATAGGTTGATAGTTTATAACCTAGTGTAGTATTGTTTTAATTTCATTTTGAATACATAACTTATTGTAACTGACCTACCAGTATTTACCGACTAAGTTCTAAATCAAAAATGTTGTTAATATTTCTTAATCTAGTTTTGAATAAATCCTAATACCTAACGTGTGACACTAACTTCATTTTGGCATGTTGTGTGTAGTGGAAATTAACCTATTAAAATATTAAATGAACTTCGATTATAACTTTTTGTCATGTACCCAATATATTTAAAAAGCTTATCCATTTCTTAAGAATGTTATTTTATATGAAGTGTTATTGTTCTTAAATGTACACTAGTCACTAGGTACCCATATGGGTAACTTTTTTCTTGAAATGATTATCGGCAAATAGCATTGTCTACCTAAAATTCACATAGCCAGGTATTTTTCCATAAGTAAGCCATATCTGTACAGTGTACATAAATATAAGGCTATACGTATAAGGGGCTAATCTAGCGTTTTGTTCCCCCTGGCCTTTACCACTCCCCTCATTATCACACAATATTTATCAATATCTATTAAAAAAATACTTAATTTTAACAATGTATTATCTGTATTATTTAAAACGTTTAAACAGTGTTATCCTATTTTCAATCTATTATAAGACAGGACATTGTGTTATCTCAAATTGTCGGGTGACGAATATTTATAAAATACAATCTTCGACTGTAATTAAGATTTACAATTGTCAATTATACAGGGTATATAATATTGTATACATCCATGAGACCATGATTCTGGAAAATTAAACACCATTATACTTTAAATAGTTATGTAAATATCAAATTGAGAGATTCAGTTCGAGACCACTGACTTTTCTTAGGGGACGTAACTAGCTGGTACCTACTTATAAGACTTTTAAAATTATTATTTTCATTGTTAGGATATCAATAAGCTATATAGTGTTAAAGTATGTAGTATGTAATTTAGGGATAAATAGTATGGTAGCAAATAGTGTTTAGTATTTACTAGTAGCAATACAAACTAAAACATGTGCCTATAAAATGTTAATAAAATTGATATTAAATAATAAATATTAGGTGTATCAACTCAATTATGCCATACATTTCTTTTGCGTTACATTATTGTATTCTTAAAAGCCCATTTATGTATCAATATTTTTTTTCTATTGATCCTCACATAAAACATTGGTTGCTCGGGCTATTGGTTTAACTTTAACAACTTAAAACTAGATTCAATGTAGTATTATTGTAATAACATAATAGTATTTTCCAAGGGCACTCATTCATCAAAAATTGGCAAATTATTTTGAGTTAGAAGTTATACATTTTTTTCTTATTAAACCTTAAGTTTAAAAATGTAATACAAGATTCCTATTAAGTTTTGTTATTTTTAACAAAAAATAAAGTTTAGTGAAAATCAAATTAATTATTGATAAGCGTTTAACGTTAATTTTTTTACGACATTGGATAAATACCCGTAAATTAATACTATATTTGCTAAATAATCTATACCATTTTCTATGCATAGTACAATTTTAAAAAATATATTTGTCACTTTTTGAGTTATATTTGGAAATTTTTAATTTTTTCAATACATGTCGATAAAAATATTTTAGTTAGGTCAAAAAGTATTAAAAATGTTGTGCATAGTTTCTTGTAAATTTTTATAATACGTAACTAGTAATATTTACAAACATTTTAATGTTACATAATATGATGCACAATTTAATGTTATAAACTTATAACTTATAACTTTATAAGCAATCAAAGTTAACATTTCAATACAATTTATCAAAATCCTCAAAATTTACAAATTATCTGTAGTATGAAATTCATTAAAATGTTCTCTTCATATCTAAGATATGAAAATTTAATTTAAGTTTCTCTATGAACATTTCTAAAAATATACAAAATTAAATTTCACCAGGAAGTCACATACATTTATAATTTTACAAAATTTTATATTCTCTACCAATTTCTCCGACAAAACGAGTTTTGATATTTTGTTGTCATCAAAAAACGAATAATCTTAAAATGTTGAAATTCTTACTAGATATTTATGTCGTGGAAAAAATTGAAAAAAAATTGAATACAACTATACAAGGTTCTTAATGAGTATAAGTTAGATTTTATTGTAAATGTGACCTACATTAACCCTTTCAAATTAACAATTTTTTTTTTAAACCAAAACCTTGTAATGAAAACATTTAGTAGGTACCAGAATCAGAACCGGAGGTTTGTTCCCATTTCTTCACTGTTTCATTTCACTGAATTTTTTTAATGTGCTAATAACAATTAATTTAAATTTATAAGAAATTATATAATAAACATTGCCTTTGTAAAATCATAAATAAAAAAGGAGGGAAGTGGGTAACTCTCTGCTGTAGGTACATTAGGGGTGTCTAGGAAGTCAATGTAATGTATGTATTGAATTTGAATTCTATAAAAAACTGTGCATGTGTATTTATAATATTTTTCAACTGCTGTTGAAATTATATATCAGAAACCTTGTAATACATTTTCAAGCTTTTTGACCCAACGAATAAAATGTTATTGACATTAAAAGAAAAAAACTAAAAAAATTAAAAACTGAAAATGTCAGTAAACAGCTCAAAACAAGTTAAAATAATTTGAAAATGTTTTCAAGTATAGGAAATAATAAAATAAACATTTGGTGTAAAATTTAAGTACCTACAGAGGTTACAATTAAACTTTTTTTATAATGATTGGTCATCATTATAGATAGATAGGTAATGTACAATATTATGTAATCTAATGCCCGATATGGTCAAATTACATTCCGAGTATTCATTTATAACCACATAGGTATAGACGTACAGTTGATACTTCAGTGCCTACTGGTTACCTACCTAAAATAATATTATGTAAAATGAAATAATTATGATATTGTCTAGATTGATCTATACGGGAGTATATTAGTATAATACTGAATATACTGAATAGTATATTAGTAGTATGATATTTTATTAGATTATTAAATTATTTTTATAGAAATAATATTTTATTGATGTTCAAGAGCACAGCAAATATAATATGCTATAAACAATTATACTTACCTACTTGTAATTCGTATTAGCAGGTGTCAGGTAAGTATTGAATAAATCGTGCACTGCATACACGACAACGATTCCCACAAATAATTGTTACGAAAATAAATTACTAAAGATAAATACTGTTAAATTTAATATAGGTACCGAATTATGGTAATTATTATTACGTTATTTTATTTTAAATGTTATAGTTTGTTTTGATCGTAATAAAACACTGCAGCAATCGTACAAATACAACAACCTCGCGTACTCGTAGGTATTCATAAAACAACTGGAATAGTGTTCATGCCTCAATCGCTGCAATGACAGAATGCTGATTGACTAACAAAAATAAAGCTATTTCCCCCTCTCGAATACTTAAATCAATTGCCGCTCATTATAAATATATATATATATTATATATACATATTGCTTGTCGTTTATGTTATCGCTCGTACAGACTACACAGTCCAATAATTAGGTTTAATATGTATAAAATATGATTTTTAATTCTTTATAGAACATAGATTAAATATATACATATTATAATAGGTATACCTATTATATGTCTAAAACTGTTTTGACGGATTCATTATAATTTCTTATTTACGGTACCGTGTACAGGTATACTGTACCTATACTGTGCCGTAGCTAGTAATAATACTGATTATATAATGTACTTGCAGTGGAATACACAGCTATTTTCAGTGGAGGGGATTTACACAGGACCTTTTAGAACTACAATACATTTTTTTTTCGGGGGGGGGGGGGGTGTACCCTATTAATTTGCCTACTTAAAAAGAATCTTTTAAAATTTGTTTAGTAGGTTATTTTAAATTTTAATAATTATTTAGGTCATAAATCATAGGCAATAGAACTCATATTAATAGAATAAAAGTAACGAATAAAAACAAATTCATTAATAACTTTCAACATTATTTCTAGGAAAAAAAATGAAGTTGAAAGTGACTTTCGCATGGAAGAACATTTGGTTGAATTTTTAGGGGGGCTAGAATAGTTGAAAGTAAATAAGTGACCCGCGGGGCCTACAGAGGCTAAAGTAACAGTAGGCTTTACTAATAAAAATTTGAGTAAAAATACTATAACTATATGATATTTAATAATGATCAGTACATTGATTTTTTATTTTTATTTTAAAATAAAAATACCTAGGTTATATTAACTTAATGGTGAATTTAATTCAAAATAAAAATAATAATAATTCAAAATTGAATCACAAAACTGTCGAAGACAAAACTTGTGCGATTTTCGTAATTCGTAATCTTTGTATTTTTCTTTATTATCATCATATTATCTAACCATTCATTGTCGCAACCCATACCATATATGGCCGGAACTAAAACTTTGACTTACCAAATTTAGGAATATTAAAGATTTTTCGGTCCATTTGTTGGTTTAAATATTTTGTGATGTTTAATTAATACTACATTAGATAAATAATTAAAACAAATAACATTAATAATATCATTCCAAATAATATTTAAATTTATAGCTAAGCCTCCCTATAGTCACTCCCCTCTGATGTTCGCCTATGTGGCACTTTTGATTATTGTGAGCTGACAACCTCTTTTTCCAAAACTCTACTACTCTGGCACAGTGGTACTTTTTAGCAATTCACTGCGTAGTTGAGTGTTTTTATGATTGAAAGGCAGTAGTATAAGACTAATTAATATTAATCATTAACAGATTCGTGAGAGATCTATAAACTAGTTATCTCAACCAAGGCACCTAAAGTCTCTCTACTCAATCGTCAACATTTTACTTATTTGTTTTATAGATACATTGCTTATAAATACCACATAATTATATGTATATATAAGCTATATTTACTTTATGTGTATTACAGTATTTTTATAGTATAGTATTAGAATCACAATGCATAAATTAATATCGAGTTTCATTATGTCTGAACCTAAGTAATTATCTTAAACGATCACGATTTTTAAGTTCTGTTCTATATTATATACTGTTTTTTATAAAATGTTTTCTATTGGGATTGATTTTTAAATATCATTAAATTTAAGGAACTACTACAGTTATTAAGACTATCTTTGAGTTATATAACTGACCATGTCTAATAAATTAAAACATTATTAATACAATGAAACTTCCGTCGTTACGAAACGAAGTCGAATAAGCAGCAAAAAAAATTCGTAATATGGAGGAATTCAATAATTAATATTATTTGTATTTAATTATATACATTTTAATAATGTAAAATCTTTGTTTTCGACTTCGTATATATTTATTATACCAAGTTACCGAATTAAAGATAAGTATACGATATCGTGCAGTAAGTAAATTTCAGCGTATACCTAGCTATTACTATAACTGCAGACGACAAAACGAACATGACATTTCATAAAAGCTGGGTACCTAGGCAATAATATGTAAGCTTGCAGATACATCTTAAGAAAATGACTCAGCTTACACGTCATCATTACACACGTATAAGGCAGAATACTTTTCCAACAAGGTGATATCTTTTTCTAAGCTTCCTAATTGATTTTCTAAATTGGTTTTCCTTTTGATTTTCGTCACTGTATCCGTGAGCATCGGCAACAACAAAAATTGTCTATTCAATTCAGCCCAATTGGTCTTCAGTCCCTGTGAAACATATGTCAAGGTCGTGGACAAAAAATGGATGAAGGTAAAGAGGCGCTCAGTGATAAAGGTTATAATTAATAATATTTAACCCACTCACGGTTAATAACTCATAACACTCTTCTTCGGGCAAACGACGTAACGGCGGCTTGATCGCCTGTGTTCGTTCGATCTCCACCAGCCTGACGGTCTCGTTTTTTTTGAAAATTTTCTCAATGTATAAAGGTAATTTTCCAAAATCCTTGAACACATAAAATCGTATTTAAAAAAATAATATTCTGATAGCACCAATACCACAATTGGTTTTTACGTAAAGAAAACTATAATAATTAAAACGATTGTTTTTTTTAAATTGATTAGGCCGATGTACCTTTTTCAACACGTACGTCGGCTCTAGGCCGGCTTCGTTCAAAACTATTATATGTCCTTTCCGACTGTCTTGTACCCGATGTTTTGGCAACAGTGGCACCCTTCTTACCACGTCGACAATGTTTTCACGTAGAAAATTTTTCGAGATTTCTTTTTTTGGTGATGGCTTATTAGGGCCACATGGATAGCGAACTGGATTTTTGATAGTTGTTTTAGTATTATCTATAAATCACCCAGTCAAAAATTAATGGATGACCTCTACTAGACAACACTTAATTCAACAATTTATAGTATATAATGAATGAAGACCTGAGATAAGTATGCAAAGGAACAAGTATGAAAACTAGGCAACCTAAATTTTGACGTCATAATTTATTAATGGGTACCTATGTTATCATGATTTATAAATCTTACCAACAAATGGTCTAATCACTTTTCTGGTATTTTTTTTTAAAAACTGGCACGGTCCGTTGACTTTGACTTCAGCATAGCCCATAGTTTGGTGACAGCCTTTATTTAATTTGAATTCTCTCTGTATCGATTTGTTAAAGATTGAACGATGCATTGCGGGTTTGATCACTGGTGTTTTTGGTCTTTGAATTAAGTATTTAATATTTTCCTGGTACTCATTCATGTTTAGTCTTACAAACTAACCGCAAAATATTAATAATTATTAACTTAATATTTTGTCATATAAAATGTAAAATATATAAATGGAGATCGCTAATATTATTAGTACTTAGTAACAACGACAAATATATTGTTATAAGTTATAACTATAATAGTATGATGTAAATACTAAATATTACTTAGAGACGTACCTACTGGTTGAAAATATATTATACGAATGCAATGCCATGTAATATAACCAGAAATTACAATTATTTTTAATATATATTTTTTTTGACATCATAAACCTTTAGAAACCAAATTTTTATTGACTTGCACAGTCTGGTCTGGTACGTTTTGACTGATACTTTAGTGTGACCATAATTATTTTATTCTAAAGGGGGAAACTTAAAAAAGGGGGTAGGTACTAGGTACATAAAAACATAAGAATGACAAATATTTTTAATTTAATTTAATTTTCAGTTATTTTCTATAATAAGCAAATTAGACAAATACCAAACATACCCCCGGCTCCCCACTACACCTACATTTTAAAATAAATTCATGTTTTTATTTTAACAAGTTTTTGTACAATATTAATAGGTACTTATCCTAAGAATCTGAGATACAATATTTTTTAGTAACAAATAATTATTTTTTAATAGTTCATATAATTTTAAACATGTGTAATCAAAGTTTAACTTGGTTATTGATAATGCTTTCCATATAGACACGTTCAATTGCGGTTTTTCCTTAGTTCATATTTGTATTCTGTGATTGAAAACGTGTTCTACTATAATTATATAATTTGATCACATTTGAAGTCTTTCTCCTTAAATATTTGAAAATATAAACCCAGCATTGATCTGTGGGGTTTTTTCTAAGTTCCATTCATCAATTTTCTCTTGTATAATATACTGTATTGTAAGAATTGATCAAATAATGCAATGTCATTAATGGGATTGGAAAAATCTTTATTTGAAATGAACTCGGAAAAACTTGTTTATTTCTGTAGACTAATTTGGAACTTTTTGAATTGTACTTACTACTAGTAGTCAGTACTACCTAATAGGTACAGTACATTATTTCTAGTTCTTCAAAATGATAAGCCCAATATGTTAAATATTGCTTGGAAGTACTATAAAAGATCTCTCAACTATAGTTATAGAATGTCACATTCTTGTACTAATCATCATATTCGAATTGCCTAATAAACGTTTTTACGGACAAAGGAATTAATTAATTTTGTTTTTTTTGTACCATGTTGTTTTAAGTTGTTTTTATCTAATTAAATACTTCAACTGCAATAAGTATGTGTTTTGGTCTTCTCCGCTTATGTAGATGTTTAAATTCTATGTTAAGATAGATTTGTTATACAAGTAAGTATTTACATAATTAAAAAAAAAAATTAAAAATCACTAAATATTTTATGCAAAAAACCAAATAAATATTTTTCCTTCAAAATTTGTTTTTCAACTTGAGTTATTAAGATTTTTTAATAAGGAAAAATCTTATTTCTTAATTGATTATCAAATATAATAATTAGTATACAAATATTTATGTTTACGGTTTATGAGTTATTTGAAAGAACATAATTCGTCAAAATTTGAACTTAAAATATCTGTAAAAAATAACTGTGTTTACATATTTTTAGACTTTTTGACTACAGTATGGACTATTTATAAGAACCTTTATTTTAAATTTCCAATTCTTAGCAATAAAAAAATTTTTTTTTTAATTTTCTAAACTAACTTTAATTACTCGTAAAAAGTTGTTTTAAATTTTCAAGCTTTTCTCTAATTTTATTGACATTATAGAATAAAAAACTAAAAAAAATTTAAATGTCTATAAATTACTCAAAACGAGTCAAAATATTTTGAAAATGTTAAGCACTTACAGTTATTACTTTTTAATAATTACAAAATAAGAACATTGTTGTATGAGACTTTGTTAATGTGCAGTTGAATATCCAATATCTATAACTTCAAACGCCTCGTAAAAAACTAATTTGAAGTTCCGGTAAACTTTTTTTACTTAGTAAATGTTTGAGAACCCAAGGAGAATCTTGTATTAAATTAACAAATTTTAGATCTAAAAAGAACATTTTTTATGAATTTTTAATTCAAACCAATTTTAAAATTTTTGTACGAGTAGTTTTAACTAATGTTGTCAAAGTTCAAAATTCAAACATTCATAAAAAATTATTGTGGAATTACGCTCAACTTTTTTTTTAATTTCCACTATTAACAACTTACAAGGAATCTTGCATTACATTTTCGAGTTTTTTAATACAGCAAAAAAATTTTGTACAGACAATAGTTTAAAAAAAAAATAATAAAACTAGAATTTTTTAAGTCTATGATAAAATAGTTAAAAAAAAAATTATGTGACGTAAAACCAATTTCGATTATTATATATACCTACCTACATAGCCTACATAGAATACAATACAGGTAGAAAGTTTATAGATGATTAACTGCAGGTAATTTAGTTAGGCAGATAATTAATCGATTTAAAAATCTATAAAATATAAGATCTTTCCCAATGAAAAACATAAAAAGCTTCAAAAAGTAAAAAAGATAGTATCGACTATTATAATATGACTCGACAAATATAATTGTTTAGAATGACAAACAGCATCGTATATAAGTTACAAGAATTTACATATTTACTTGAAAATAGATACTTGAAATGTTCACAAAACATATAGTATTTACTATACATACTATAGAAGTCAAAATGTTTTAACTCTTTTTGAGCCATTAATAGACATTTAACATTTTTATTTTTATTGTTTTTTATAAATGTATGCACAATTAATTTTAGCTGCTAATAGTCATATCTACTATATTACCTTGCCCGAAACACTTTATAGTGACACTATAGTATATTCAAATCCGGTAGGTTTGACAACCCTAAAATAACCATAAGTATAGAGGTATTTGAAATTTTTACCAAATGTTTATACTAAAATATTCTATACAATACATAAAATATTTTGACTGTTTTTGAGCTATTTATTGACATTTAATTTTTTATTCCTATACCTACATTTCGAAAAAAACTTTTGTGTTAAAAAACTTGAACATTTATTACATGGTTTCTAATAAAGTAATAACTTTTTATTAAAGATATTTAACAAAAGATGCATAGCCGCATAGGCGTTAGGCACGATTTTTTTGTTAAAACATTTAAAGTTCAGATATTGACATCATGGAAATTTGAAAATCAATTTGTAGTTACCTATTTATAAAATATTCGAATTATACAGCAAGGCTTGAAAATGAAGGCAGAATTCTTCATGTTGAACCTAGGAAAATCAAAGATTCAAAATTTGATGAAATTTAAATACTTTAACAAATAATAACAATTTTAGTTTTATTTTTTTGCGATTCAAATATATTATTCTAGAAAGGGGGACTTTACTTTTACGTACATTATTATATTTTACTATAATACGCAATGATATTTTCAAAATATTTAGATTAATTTTAAACCTCATTTATACCGTTTTATTAATAGGTATATGTAGTATAGTAAAATAAATTACTATACAGTTTATAATAGCAATTTATAAAAATATCCTAAATAGCGGATACGTGGATGCTGTACAGTAGGTTATAAATGGGTCACTGCAATGGATGGACGGATGATGTTAAATTTTAATTCAATGATATAATATTATTGTAGATAAAAAACGATTGCGGGGACGTTTTGTCGGCCTAGAATATTCTACATTATATGAGTATTTATTAACCTTAGCCGGTAGGTTGGATTAATATTACTTGCATAGTTGCATATGATCATGCATGTATATAAAAGTATGCTTAGTTTCGAGTACCCAACGAAAACAATTTTAAGTACAACAATATATAACTAAAATTTAAATTCTTGGTTATTTATTATGTAATTTTTTTCCAAATTTGAACTGAAAATAACTATAAAGCTGTGTTTATATATTTTTTGGCTACACAACTAGGTAATTACTTACGTGAAACCTTGTTTTACATTTTGAAATCTTAGACATGAAAACAGACATTTTTATGAATTTACAACTCAAAATAATTTGCAAATATTAGTGATTTATATCTATATGAATTTTATCGAAATTCTAATTAAATAAAAAATTATTGTGGATTTACGCTCAACTTTTCTTTTCAATTTCTATTTACAACAACTTCGTACGAGGAATTTTCTATTACATTTTCAAGTGTTTTGACCTAGACAAAATTTTTAAATCGGCATTAATTGAAAAAAAACTAATACAAATCGAAAATTTATATGCCCATAAATGAGTCAAAATATGTTGTTATGGTGTACCTATAGATATGCTGAAATAAACATTCAGTGAAAACTTCATGGATATACGGTATTTTCTTAAGCGTAATAATAACAAAAATTGATATTGTCGAACACCGACCTAGCGTTAATTCCAGTTTTTCCTTAATTTGTTGTTTTTCCGGGTGCTTTTAAAAACTCTTGGGAATTTTGAATGCATGCTGAATTCATCAACTAGATTCAGTTTCCACCGAAAAAGATACTGAAATTCAAAATCAAAAGATTATTTCGATTTTCGACTACTTATCGAGTACACAGACACAAAAAAAAACACTCATCATTGTAAAATCAATACATTCGTTGCTCATCTGAAAATCTAAAATAACATATATACTTAGTACCTATAGGTAGGTAGTCTAGGTACCATTATGTATGGGTCGACCGTCTTTGCTCAGATTCGTTTTTTCACGATCACAAAAATAACAGAGTAAGAAACAAATATGTTTCATGCTGAAACAAAGCTAGTTTTGACATTTTATTTTGCATATAAATGCATACTTCCAGTTTTTATGGTTTTAGTGCATATTTCCTCGATTCTATACGTTAAATATTTTCTATAATTTATAATTTTATCAATATTTTTACCGTCGACGTTTTTATTTAATATACAACCAAAATAATGTTCAATTTAAAATTAATTTACATTTTGATCATATTAATATAATACTATGGTTGTTGACTGACCCACACGCATGTTTTTCTTAGAGGCACTTCTCGAGGATTACCGATTAGATTTATTTTCCGGCTATTAATTTTATTTATGCACCTACAGATATTATTCACACTTCACTGCATAAGATATTATCAATACGGGCCACAGACATCAAAATTTAAATAAAATATATTCATACAAATAATCTTATTTTTTAATTCATATTTTATATATTTTAGTGCATATTTGGTGATTTTTTTAGAGCTACAAGTCCTCTGCCCTAATTAATCATAATATGATGGTAAAATCCGTAACCACACATTTGTGTGCCGCTCGGACCACCGTAATACCGTGAGTAGTTTTAGTTACTTACACTGTTACAGTCTACAGACGTTGGCTGCTCAGCTTTTGTTTAATTTTTAGATTATTCTTATGTATTCGAATAATTGCCGGATTTAGATGATGTTTTTTTTCAAATGTTATTATTTTACAATATAATTCTGAATCATTTAAATAATTTCGAAAAAAGTATCGACCATAGTGATTCCTATTTAGTTACTTTAAAAAGTATAATTGAGAATATAATTGTATTTTAAAATTAACTTAGGGAGTGCGATCGCACCATCTCATACTTAAGCACGAGCCACCACTGTACTCAATGACAAGGTACACTCGACACCTACTGTACAGCAGAACGGTTACTTATGAGAAAATTCCTCTTCTTAGATTTTGAGCTTAGTGATGGATGTATTGATTTTACAGTAATGTGTGTTTTATTAATTTTTTTATATGTGTCTGTTTAAATAGTATATAATACAATGATTCAATTTTCATTTCAACATTTTCTGGTGGGAAAATTTATCTAACTGGTGCATTTAAATAGTTAAAATTGAAAATTCCGAGTAATTTTCAAAAACTTCAGAAAAAATAAAAATAAATTAAGCAAAAATGGGAATTTTTTTACACAGAATCAGATTTTGACAAAATCGATTTGGTTTTTATTGAGTAACTCAAAAACAAATAACCTTATATAGCAGCTTGATATTTTACCCAAATGTTTATTTCTAAATATTTTACAATTTTCGAAAAAAACTTTTTGAGTTTACATTTTCAATATTTTTTAGTTTTTTTTTTTATAAATGTCAATTAACATTTTTTTTTCATCAAAAGTCTAAAAACTATATAAACACTATCATTAGTATAAGATATTAAATTTAAGTTTGGACGAAATTAGAAATTTAAATGTGGATTAAGGATTTTAGCTTTTTTTATATTTTAAAAATATTGCTATACTATAGGCTACACATCGCTTAGAATCGTTATTACTTTTACTATTACAATGATTTTAAATCATTTAATTCAAATTTGACACATCCATTACATAGTGACCTACATTGATACATAACACTACCCACTGGTCCACCTTGTTTCTATTATTAAATTATAATACAAATTTCCATAGTACCTATATGTAGATAAACTAAAAATGTCAAGTTGACATAGGTTTTAAATACAGTATAATAAAAGTTATAATATAGTTGTATACAGTCATATTTATTAAAATAAAAGTTAATAAGATGTGTTTATTGTAGGGTCTATCTGATGATGGTTGACAATTTGGACTATTAATATAATCGTATTTAATGTATAATTAATGTTTTATTGTATAATCATGTTTAAGACATTTGTTTCTCTTGTCTTTTCTTGTGTATGTGTATAATTTTTATGTATTCAAACTAATTGTGTGAAAAAGTGTGCATTATGAGCATAGCATATTTTGCATATTTTGCAACTTTTCTTCTACAGTTAATTTATTTGCGAAGTAAGTTTTAAATGTATTTAATAAAAATATGAAATGTTTCATATAACATTTTTAAGTGCAATTTTTAAATTTTTTATTCATTTTTGTTGAATTTACATACTAATAAAACAATTTAAGCAATTTTTCAATTTTGTTAACATAACTTTACTTTGGTTTTTACATATTAGCTCCAAATAGAAGAACATAATATGAGTATGTCAATTTAAAACAAACACTTTTAGCCAATTCAATTATGTTTGAGGTAGATAATAGTTTGGATTGTTAAATAACACGTAAAATATTAATTTTTTTGCAGAATTTAAATATTATTTAAGAAAAAATAAAGATGAGAATAATTATGAAATTATGTTTCTCTTGAATAAATAATGAATTATAAATGAAATACATTTTTGACAAAACATTGTTATTAATTTATGAGTGTAATTTTTATATTTTTCAGTGCAATTACTAGTTTTTTTACTATTATAACATCCAAGCCTTAGTTATAAGTAAAGCCACCTTATACTAATATGAGGCCTACAAAGTGTAGTCACAATGTTTGGAATACTTGCAGAGAGCAGCTATGACTAGAGTTTAAAACAGAAACTCAGAATACATAGTGACAGAAACAAAATTTTGTATCTTGTATCTTTTAAATCTTTCAAATCTACCTGCCATCATGAATGTATCTATCCACAATTACTGAGTAACTATGCTATCTAAATTGAGGAAAATCATACTTATCAACAAAGTTATTATAAACATAATATCAAAACACTTAATATTAGATTCTATCAATATGGATGTTTAGTTTATTACTCAGGAAAAATCTTGGTTTTTATAGAACACTTTTAAATGGTAAATACTAAATAATAAATATTGCAATAGTTTTTGGATGATTGTTTAAGATAATATTATAACATGAGTTAATCTAAATGAAAATAAAAATCATACTTATCTTTAAATTACAAAAATGTACTTTTAAATACAAATAAAAATTAATCTAAAGACTAAATTATATGATATATTTCAAAGAAAGTTGTAACTTTATTGTCTTTAAGTTTTACTTTTAAAGCAAATAAATATACAAACCTAATATTTATTACTTCAATCACTTCTTCCATTTTTTAGAGCATTTATATAGTACAAATGATCACGTGCAGTAGCTAATATTCCTCCAACATGCATCAGACTTGTATACTTTTCATATGTAATATCTTCATTTTCCAACGATGTCATATCACCTCCTATACTTTTTAGTATAGCATGTCCAGCACATATATCCCATTTTTTTATGTTAGTTGTATGAATATAAGCTGATGAATTTCCAAACAAAACTTGTAAAACTTTGAATCCTGCGCCTCCAGCTGTTACAACTGGTAAACCATATAGCCGTTGATTTAATAGACCCATTACATCACCTTTGTGTGATCTTGAAATAATAATTGATCTTTTGTTAGGAACCTAATAAAAGTAATAAAATAAACTTAAGTACATAAAATAGAAAATTGCTTTGCAATAAGATATAAAGAATATTTCGCATATTATGTAGGGACAGATTGAGCTATCGGGAAGTCGGGAAATTCCTGATGGGCCTGAAACTAACTAGTTGATGGGGTAGCTAAGTGCAGTGCTGAGCTCCACGACTGCAGCAAACTACCAACAATTAGGTACCTAGAGGCGGTTTTTTTTCTACTGGTATCTCCTGATTTTTTTTTAAAAGATGTCTCTTAATTTTTTCTCATAGCATGAATTGCAATTTGCAAAACAACAAACAAAAGTCAGTAGGCCAGTAGCTAATATGAATAATTTTAAATATAAATTTAACCATTCTGTCTATAACAGTATAACAGAAGCTAAATAATAAGTAATAAGTAGCAATAACTCTAATCAAAAAATCAACTTCATGGACAGTGAAATATAAAACACAATTTTTTGTTGAAAGTTGATTTTAGGATTAAAATATTTATCAGTTTGTTTTACATTGCATTATTAATATTGCCTATTGCTACTGGTAAGATATATATTAGACATTTTAGAATGTAAGTAAATAATAATATTGCAGTATTTTTCAAATAGTAAATATATATATTTAAAATAGGCCAAGTAATTTCTAACTAAAAAAAATACTACTTTTAGTATTGTTGACATCAAGCCCCCAAACAAATACATGACTGCTAGTGGGTCTTAAGTTATTTTCCTAGGCTCTTGTCTGAAATTCCAATCCTTTCCTGATGTTAAGTTAATTTAAAATCTAAATTATATTCACTGGGAGAATTTATACTGAAGAAATAAAAATTCCAATAACTATACTATCTATCTACCCAGTGAACATGTAATTTGATTACATAGAAAAGGTGAGAAAGAAGTATGATCTTATCCTATTCTAAATAGTTTTAAGGAAAATTCTAGATGTACAGTTCTCATTATAACTGAGATTTATTATTGATAAGCTTGTGAAAAATAATGTATATTTTACTATTTTTTAGAATTGAATTAGGTAGTCTCAATAGTTAAAATATTATTACAATAAATTATACATTTTTCTTAATAGATAATTCAATATACTATTATAATTATTAATCTTAACTTACTTTAATATTGTTAAAATTATTTGATCTTGATTTTGAGAGCCAAGCCCATGTTGTTTTAGATGAAAATGGTTCATGTATGACACCCATAATAGGTTTACCTTTATATGCAACACATACCATAGTTGTTACATATTGGGTCAAACTTTCTACAAGAAACAAATAAAACTGATAATTTTAAAAGCTCATTCTAAGATTTTAAAACTGTTATTTTTGTTACCAGTAAATTCTTGTGTTGCATCTAATGGGTCTATCCATATGGTTATATATTTTCTCTCAAATTCTTCGTCAATATTTGTTATATGTTCGTTATCATAATCTTTTAATTTTCTTATATTTAACTTTTTGCATTCTTTTTCAGATAATTCTTCTTCTGATATCACCTATAAAATATTTAAACTTTATCAATACCGGCAAGTTGCAAAGTGAGTTGTTGTACTAATAAACTTTATCCACAGACTTCTGTGAGCTATTATATATGTGAGCCGATGTGAGCTTCATATTGTGAGTAATTTTTTTGATAGCACTAACCAATAATTTTTAATAACTAAATGAAAAAAACAAAAATCCTCATGTGCTCAAACTGATGACTTTAATTAAATTTATGTTATCCAAATAATAAAGTCACACAAAAAGTTCTTCTCTATGTGTTGTGAAATTTTGGTAATTCTACTACAAATACAGAAGGAGTAAAATTGTTCTGCGCAAAAACAGTTTATGCTATGTTGTACATTTGGAAGATGGAGACAACGCATGCGGGTACCACATCCTCTTAAATGCATTAACCACATTTATCAAATATATTTACATAAGACAATGAGTTTTCACCATTTATATTCAGGTGTTTCTGATGTGAAACTCCTAATCAATATTTTCTACTTTCGCCATCTCATATTGTATTTCACTAGTTTACTTATTGTAGTCATTTGTATAGATTATACATTTTCATTAAATAAAAAAATTTTAAAAATAAAAATAATTTAATGAGGCTATGAACTTAATTTATTTAAATTTTTTTGAGAAGTATAAACTATACATACTTTCACGTTTGGTATATTTTTTTTCAATTGATAATACATAGCACAATGAGATGTATAATCAGCGTTAGTAACTGGATCATTTGCACCTTCGATAGTTTTTCCTTTTGATTGGGAATTTATCAAATGTTCATTGTGGATCGCTTCAACTTGAATGCCACCTAATTGAGCTGCTCGGATTGCTTGTTCTAAAAGGTCTTTACCTCTTACAAATTCATATCTATTTTTAAAATTATACTTGCTCACGTACAGAATAATTGTACAAAAAATTAAGAGAAAAAATAATTTAATTAGAGTTTTATTTCGGATAATCATTTTTTTCAGTTTTAATTTGTTTATATGAATGTCAATCATGACTAAAATCACTACTACATAAATTACAAATAAGGATTTGTATTAATAAAGTAATTAATTATTTCGAAAACCATCATTTCAGCTATGGTTCAGGAAACTAATTATGGATATAAGATTTAAGCCTTCAGGTCGTTTCCTTAAGATTATAATATTATTGCTTTTCGTTTCATATTTTAATTTAATTGACCAGTCACTATGATTTATTTTTAAGCGAGATTGCTATCATTGTAATTGATTTACAAGAAAGATAGCACAGTGATTATTTTTTTAAGCAACTGATATCCTTATCTTGTTTACTCTCTCCCATCATTTTATCATGGCATTTGACTTTAAAAATAAAATTAAAAAAATAAATTTTTCTCAATGATTTACAGTCTAAAATAAGTACCCAGTGGTAATTAATAATTATTGAATAGGCAATTGCTATATTATGTCTCCATCCATCATGAATAATATACGATACACCCGTACGGCTGGCTGGATAATCGACATTTATCATACAGATTACAAAATCAAATCGCCGCATGACGGTAAATGAATAAAAAACCAGAATGGCTTACGGAATACGTATGATGGAATGCGAATCAGCGTACTTTCACAAACACAACTATAGATGATTGATATTAAAATTATAAAATAAACATACCATGATAAACACGGTTGATTGTGATAAGGTAGTCTGAGAAAGTTAATGGTAATCACAAATGTAACTGAGTATATTAATAAGGTTAAAGGTAATATGTTAATAGAAGGAACTGTTTGCGGACATTTAATGGCAATAGCCAATAGGTATTAAAAAAAAAACCAATACAAATGAGCAAATGGCAATGGCATTTCGCCACACTTTCGAATGAATAAAAACCGTATAGGTAGGTGTGATCGTGATTTATTTATTTCATATTTTACCATTGATGGTCTTAGCCAACAATTCACCTCGTCGTATATCAGCAACAAATTTTCTGTGAATTTAAAGATAACCAAATTGGACCACTGTAATAGAAAACAAAATTTTGAACAGATTATATTGGATTTAAAAAAATACATACCTAGGTTACTTATAATGAATTGTGTTTACAAGCTTAGCAGCCCGATTGTTACTTCATTTGGAATACAGATTAAGAAAATGTTTTCAAACATCACTAAACCGCTAGAAGGAAAAGTAGCTATCATCACTGCATCTACTGATGGGTAAAAATTGAACTATAATTAATTGTTGTATTGTGCTTATAACATTTTTAACATTAAATTTAATTGTTTAGAATTGGTTTCGCTGCTGCTAAACAATTGGTCAGCGATGGAGCGTCTATCATGATTTCCAGCCGTAAAAAAAATAATGTGGAAATTGCATTGGAACAACTTCAAAAACAATATGGTGCTAACAAAGTTAAAGGACTTGTATGCCATGTATCAAAAAAAGAGGATAGGACTAATTTAATTCAAGAGGTACTTATTATTTACCTCCATAATATTTCATTAATACTTAGCAGAATATATAGGTAATATTATATAAATAGTCTTATTACAATTAATATTCAAAATTTACCTAGTTATTTTTATATTAGATTTATAGATTTTATTAAGAATTTACTATCATTTAACAAACTTAAATAATATTTGAATTATATTAGTATTGATTTAATATAGATTCCATTATTTAAGTTTATAATATTCCTGTATTATCTTAACAAATAATAAAAAGTGTTTAAATATTTATGTAATTAACATAGCTAATGTATTTCAACTAATACATTTATTGGATTGGCCTTGAGTATTGTGTGATCAAAGTTAAATAATAATTTGGTACTGGTTTAGTTGATGCCCGCCAAAAAAGTATTCTCCTGCCACTTATGTTTGATGCTCACCACTTATAACTCTCTTATTTTTGATGCTCTCATCATTTGTTATTAAATGTATAGTTAGTTTTATTGTCTTTTAAAGTTAATTTTTTACTAAAACCATAGATTTAAAATATATTTTATTTTGAAAAATTAATTTTAAAAGAAAATTATAATAATCGTATGTATCAAATTTTATTTATAAATATAAAAAGTAATAATGGTAATATAATATTGAATATTCATAAAATATTCAATATATAATAGATATTATAAACTGAAAAATTAAAATTGTTATTCATAAAAGAAAAATATAACTTTTTACTCAGTATCCCATACATGTTTGTATACTCATTAATAATTATTAATTAACATTCGTTAAGGACCTTAAAGGTACTTATTATTATATTCTTATTCATTTATAGAAGTACTGGTGAATTGAATGATATATGATATTATATGTGAAGATAAATAATTATATTCTAATAATGTATTTGACTATTATAATTTAGTTGTGGACCATTTGGTAAACAAATACACAAAATTAATTTAATTATTTTGTTGGATTTGATCATTGATTAAACAAATAAGGAATTAAAAACTAAAATACTCTTATATTTACTATTTTAATTTTTAATGTTTATCTTTAAAAAATAAATTTAATACAGTATGATGACAAGAACATCGAAAATACAATAAATATAAGTGGTGGGCATCAACTAAACCAGAGTGGAGAGAGAATACTTTTTTTGGCGGGCGTCAACTAAACCAGTTCCAATAATATCATAATATCCAGTTAAAAATTAATAATTTATATAAATAAACATAATTAAACTACCCTGAATGTTTGATATTATATTATATTATATTTTTTTTTAGGTAGCTTTAGGTAAATAGATTTTTTTCTTCAAATTAAATGTTTCATAAGTACATATGTTTATAAATATATTTTTAGACTATTAAGATCTTCGGTGGAATTGATATTCTTGTATCAAATGCTGCAACAAATCCTACGTCAGGCTCAGTATTAGATGTAAGATTTTGTTGACCTATAAATTACAGTACATTTAAAAGTTAATTATTCATTAATTAGAAGGCCAATACTATAATAGTTTATGTCTGTGAATTAGTGTGATGAAGAAATTTGGGATAAGATATTTGATGTTAATGTTAAAAGCGCATTTTTGTTAACCAAAGAAATTGCACCACATTTGATTTCTAGAGGTGGTGGTTCAATCGTTTATGTCTCTTCAATAGCTGGTGTCAATCCAATGCCGGTAAAAATATTTATTAAAATTTAACTAAATAGAAAATTTTGTTGTTATTATAAATGTGAATCCTTATTATAGATGTTGGGAGCATATTCTGTTAGTAAAACGGCACTTCTTGGTTTGACAAAAGTAGTTGCTATGGATTTGGCAGAGAATAACATAAGAGTCAATTGTGTGGCTCCTGGTATTATAAAAACAAAATTTGCATCAGCGGTATGTAGTATTTATTTTTCAAATAATGTATATAATGTATGATATATAAAAATACAGAATGAGTATAAAAGGATTAATTATATGGTTTGCTACATAAAACAATTTGTTAAATGAATGAATAGGTAAATAATTTGTTTACCTAATCATTGATCACTCAATAGTTCTATAAATAATGATAACATTTCATTTTTGTATTATCCTGGTGGATAGAATGTGCAATTAATGCTGGCTAGAAAGCCAAGTTGCAATTAGCGCAAACTGGCTGATAAAAGTAAATAAACAAGTATAACCAATATAACCAATTTAAGCAAGTGTCTAGCATTATTTTTAATTGTAATTTATCATTTAAAACTTATAAAAAATAATTATATTAATGGGAAGAATTTATGTCTTATTTGTTTTAGCTTACTGAAAATGAATCTCTCAGTGAACATTTATTACAAGAAATACCTATTAAAAGGTAATATTTTCCCCTTAAATTATAAAATACTAACTTTAATTTATAATTTATTATAATTTTTTTTTAGGTTTGGTCGTCCCGAAGAAATTGGTTCTGTTATATCATTTCTTTGTTCACCCTCTTCTTCCTTTATAACTGGTGAAGTAATTGTAGCATCTGGTGGAATGAAATCGAGGCTTTAATTATGTACTTTAAGTTATTGCATTGTCATTTTTATCTTTAAATTAAGAATTTAAACAGTCAAGATCTATTTATTGAAGAATTAATATTCTAAAATAATCAAAAATCTTATTTATATATAATCTTAATAGCTTTATGTTGAGTTGCATGAAAAATTGATTACCCATTACTTTACTACTTAAATAAATCATTAAATGTTTATTTTTTGTTTATGCAACTCGGAATTATACATGGGTACATTGATAGTCGATAACTGGACTGGGTTTTCTAAATTACGGTATTTGGTAAATGGTGACTGATTATAAGTATTTTATTTTCATGTGTATATCGTTTTATTTTATTTGGTGTTTAAATTTTGTTTATGTATACTTATGTTTTTTTGGTACAATAGTAAGTTGTTCTGGCAATTTTTTTCTTATTTAATTTTAGTAAGTCTTAGTTTAAAATTTTTTTAATATGCAAGTTCAGTAACTTTAATTGACTTGTAAAATTATGGTGTGGAATTGATTATAATATGTTTGTTATTATTGAAACCTACTGCAAAAATTAAGAATGATATATATAGACACAAATATATAACAACAGATTGTCTAATACATCCTGTAACAATGCCCCCTGAAGGGGGGCTAAGGAATCATTTTTCTCACCTCCCAGATAATCCGACAATACAAATCCTTGGAATCTTTTTAATTAAAGAAAGACTGATAAATATTTAACAAATTATAATATTAAAATATTTTTTTCATAAAAGTTAACACTTATTTTAGGTTTCTCTTGTTGCATAATATTACCACAATATACCACCTGGTTGTGGGTTCAAGAGTTTGATAATGGTAAACTATTAATATATTTTGCTAAAATTAATGTAGTATATTATTCTTATTAAAAAATAAAAATCGTAATTCTTATGCTATGATAGTTGTTCATATTAAATAATAGTTACTCATATTAATATAACAAAAATTGAATAAAATTAAAAATAAAAAGTTTAAAATATAAAATTGCTAAACCAACAGTATAAAATTGGTATGATACTATGATATAAAATCATAAATGTTATAATAATAATATCCTCATTTGACAACAGTTTGGTATGTGTATGGTTTATATGCCGACAAATATATGAAACTTAAAAATAAAAAGCAGGTAAGTGAATGTCCCTCTGCTCTATAAAAGGTGTCTAGAAGATTGAAGATTTGAAGTTGTAATTTATGGTAATACATTTGAATTCAATAATAATATGATATCAATATATCATTGTACCTATACAATAAACGACTCAGAGCGGAGACAATGTCAGTCTAGGATATTTTATATTATTATTACTTATTGATTATTATTAATACGGTAGGCGATTAATTGAATTAATACTATTCATAATATTATTCTTAAGTTATGAGTAATGCTGGAAAAATATCAAATACACTTATGTACAATTGGCTGTTATGAAACCGAATTATAACAAAATTGCAAACGTTATTCGTTGTACTAATATGTAATTTTGTCCAAATTTGATCTTAAAATGTCTGTAAAAAATAACTGTATTTATAGATTTTTTAGTTACCGAAAAACTATTTGAGTGGGATCTTGTTTTAAATGTTCAATCCTTATTCACAAAACTTGAAAACATTATATATTTTTAACTACAAAATCATTTTCAATTTGATAAACATTGTCAAAATGTGAGCATTAATTGCATATAAAAAATCGTGCCTATGTATTTTTAATATTTTTCAACTGCTATTGTAACAATACATCAAGAGTCTTGTATTAAATTTTCCTGCTTTTTGACCCAACCAATAAAAATGGTATTGACAATTATAAAAAAAAAATTGAAAATGTCCGTAAACAGCTCAAAATAAGTCAAAATATTTTGAAAGTGTTATGAAATTGATAATATAAATATATGGTGTAAATTTCAAGTATCTGCAGTTATTCGTTTTTTAATTACAACAAAATAAGAAAATCTCTGTATGAGAGTGAATAACTAATCTTGTAGACATTTGATCACCAAACGCACATAAAAATTTAATTCGACATGGTAGGATTTTTTTTTCATAAAGGTAGGCAAACTTATACGGAATCTTCTTTTAAACAATAAAATCTTGGATAAAAAAACAAACATTTTTATGAATTTCTAACTCTAAATAATTTTGCAAATTTTCGCGATTTTTACGAATTTAGTCAAAATTTTCAGTTTAAACTGAATCAAATTTTTATTGTTATTATTTATTATTAATACGGTAGGCGATAATTTGTATTAATATTATTCTTAAATTATCAGTGACGCTGGAAAAATATTAAATATACCTATGTGAAATTGGGCTGTTTTGGAACCGAATTGCGATGAAATGATAAACGTTATTCTTTGTGTTAATATTCAATTTTGTCGAAATTTGAACTTAAAATGTTTGTAAAAAATAACTTATTTATAAATTTCATAGATTTTTAGTTACGGAAAAAACTGCTTAAGTTTTAAATTTTGTTATAAATTTTCAACTCTTAGCTATTAAAATTGAAAATTTTATAAATATTGTCAAAATTTGAATTTAAATGCACATAAAAAAAATCATGCCTAGGTATTTTAAATATTTTTCAACTGCTATTGTTACAAGTAATAAAGAATATTTTATTACATTTTCATGCTTTTCGATCCAAAACAATAAAATTTGATTGACATTTATAAAAAAAAAAATGAAAATTGAAAATGTCAGTCAACAGCTCATAACGAGTCAAAATATTTTGAAAATTTTATCAAGTATATGAATTGATGAAATAAACATCTTTTGTAAATGTCTACAGTAATTCGTTTTTGAATTACAAAGAAATAAGAAAATCGCTACAAGACAAATCGAGTATTTATTCAGTGCAGTGGCGGCTCCAGACCCATGGTGGGGGGGGGGAGTTATACTTTCACAAAACTTTATAGCAAGAAGAAAACACCAATAGTAATATATAATTTATTTATAGCCTTATAGGTTCTTCATAATGTAGATCAGAGGTTCCCAAACTTTTACGACCACGGCACCCTTAAAAAATTGTTTGTGTTTCGCGGAACCCTAATGTCTAATCCAACTCAACTACAATTTTTGTAAATTAAAAAAGGAAAATTAATTCCTTTAACTCTCTAGTCTAAATAATATTTTAATGATACTGTTAATGACTTTTCATTATTAAACTTAGTTTAAAAAAAAATTTTCAATCAAACATTTTTTAAACAACAAACATTAAATAAACATAATTTTCTCAATAATCTCATATATCTAACGGAACCCTTGACATTGTCCCACGGAACCCTGAGGTTCCGCGGAACACACTTTGGGAAACGCTGATGTAGATAGTAGGTACATCGTACACATCGTACACCTCTACATACTTGTGCATGTCATAACTCATGATATGATAGCCGAAATAATTATAATACGCTTTTTTTGTTTATAATTTTTTTTTAACAAAATACATTCATTTATAAATACGGGTTTTTAGGGGGCTAGGCCCCCCCTGGAGCCGCCCCTGATTCAATGTTGTAAAAATTTCAACTTCAAACGCTCATAAAGGTTTTGATTAAGGTAGACCAACTTGTAAGAAATCTAATATTAAATTTTTAAATCTTAGGTATATATAGAAATTTTTTTATGAATTTCTAACTCAATATAATATACAAGTTTTCGTGGTTTTTTTTATCGAATAGGGTTTAAAAAAAACCAATTATAATCGAAAATTTCATTTGCCTATAAATAATTCAACACAAATTAAAAAATTTTGAAAATTGTATGCTTTCACAAATATTTAGTGAAAATTTTATGAATCTATGGTCATTTTTGTTAGAGTTACGCTAAAAACCAAAACGATAAATAATTTTGTTAAAAATTCCTGTTTTTCCTTAATTTTTTTTTGTTTTTCTTGTTGCTTTTTGAAAACTAGTGGGAATTTTAAATTTTGACCTCCCGAATGCACCAATAAAATTCACTTTTCGACCAGAGAAAGTACTGTTCAAGAAAATCGAAGCACTTTTACAAGTCAAAAACTGTGATGACAGACACAAAAATATATATATAAAAACACAAAACACCCATCATTGTAAAATCAATACATTTATCACACCGCTCAGAATCTAAAATAAAAATGTTTAGAACAAATAGTATGAATTGTAATATTGTGTATTAAGTCAACTAATTATAATAAATAATTATTGTAATAATCATAAATAATAAGTCGGTAGAAGGGTATGTTATGGAATAATATTTTGAACTGTGAACTAAAGTAATGTGTTTCAATTTGTAGATATTCTATCTTCTAATGCTAAAATAAATCCATTATTACAACTATTTCTATACTACTCTCTATAACACTCATTTTTTTCCTTTTGAATTTTTGAGTTTATTTGGTTGAGATATATTACGGATATTTTCAGTTAGACAAAAATTAAAAAATACATGGGCATAATTTTTGGAAGCATTTAAAGTTCAAATGTTGACAACATTTATCAAATTGAGAATTTAAAAATGATTTTATAGTTAACAATTTTAAAAAATGTTCAACTTTTATAGCTAAGGATTGAAAATTTAAAACAAGTTTTTACGTAAGTAGATTATTCTGTAATCAAAAAATCTTAACACAGTTTTTTTATTAGTTATTTTAAGTTCAAATTTTGACAAAATAAGATATTAACACAAAGAATAACGGTTTAAGGCATGTTGTTGTTATGTAAAAATATTATTTGTTGGTATTTCAACATTTTAGGGTACCCATACTATGATATTTTGTATACACAATGAATCTTTCAAATGTAATTTTTGTAGCAAAAATTAAGTTAATCTACACTGTAGCACTAATTTCTAATATTAAAATAAATTACTTTAGTCAAAATAGTATCATCAAATATTCTTCTTCTTCTTGGCCTATTAATACGGACCATTAAAGTCCTTTGCCGCTTTCACAATCCTTCTCCACTGATTTCTACCCGTTGCCATGTCGATGCTGAAGGTGTTGTTTATTTCGGACAAGTCTCTCTTCACTGAATCAAGCCATCTCTGATGTGGTCTCCCCAGGGGTCTCGTTCCAGTTGGGTTCCCCACCATAACCTTCCGTAAGAGGCATCCTTCTGCCCACCACACGTGGTCTGCCCATTCTATTCTCTTTCTACGAACAAATTGGCATATGTTTGGGTTGTTAAAAAGGATTTGTATCTCATCGTTTTTTCTTCTTTCGAATATTCCCGAATTCAAATTATACACTGGCCCATATATTTTCCTCAGAATTTTCCTTTCGAAGCTTGCTAGTTTTTCTTCTTCTCTTTTTGTACTTGCCCATGTTTCACATGCTATGGGGCGCAAGTATGTGATATATAACCTCTCTTTGGTTCGGCGTGACAGAAGCTTTGATGTGAACATCTCTTTCATAGCGTGATAGCTTCTATTCGCTGCACACATCCTAAGCTTGATTTCGTGGTGCATAT